AGCCGGCACCCTGCGTCCCTCCCGGGGGCGGCGGCGGCTTCTGCCTGGGCCGAGAGGCCCGCTCCCGCCCGGGAGGGGCTGTTTACCTGCGGCAACTCTGCGGCGTGGCTCCGCCCCTCCCTAACCCCCCACCCCCACCCCCGCCACGTAGTGCGGCGCGGGTGATGACTTTGCAAAAATTGTTTAAAATGAATGAGAGGAGTTAGCGACCGGCACCTCCGCCTGAGCACTGGCCAAGCCCGGGCCACCGTGCCCTGGGCGCGGGCGGGGGCGCGCGGGCGGATGCGAGGAGCGCGCTGGGTCCCGGTCGTGCCCGCCGCGGGTCTACGTCCTGCCCTCCGCGATGCAGACCCCTCGGCTCTCCCCGGGTGTTGCGGACACAGGCAGGGAGGCCGAGGCCCCCTTCTCCAGCGGGCCCCAAGGCACGGAGACGCCGGAGGGCGCCCCGTCGGCGACCCCTGCCCTCCCCCGAGTCCCTCCACTGCGGCCATCGGCGCGACTCGCGGCCGCCTCTAATGCCACCCCGTGAGGTCCACCTGCTCCCAGCCTGCACCTCCTTCCCACCTCTCGTCTGCTCTTGCCAACCTCCTCGCGTCTGCGCCAGCGTGAGGCTCCCTGCCACCTCCGTGGCCCTCCTGGCCACCCACGTCTGGGTCTGGCCTCTGGCAACAGTGCAGGTGCTCTGCCCTGGCCCTGGCCATCCGCAGGACCCTCTGGCTCCATCGCTTCACCTTGCCGTTGTTTTTTGGAAGCAGCGTGCTTGGGGTTTTAAATTCCTGCAGTAATTCACCCACTAGGTATGACGTAAACCCCCGCCCGCAGCAGGGGGCCCGGCTTGTGTCGTCAGGCTGCTTTTCCAGATGTTTACCCTTCTGCGCTTCTACACCTGCGCGTTTTCCACAATTCCCACTCAGCTGCATTCGGTTTGTCGCCTCAGGCACCATGCCCACAAGCTCCCAGCCACCTCACCTCGTCACCTCACGCCCCAACACTGTTACCTTTGAGGTCTCCCAAAGACTCCACCGCGGGCTTGTAGGTGTGTCCTTGACACTTCCCAGAACCAATGGCTGAGGCAGCTATCACACCCCGCAGACCGCTGTTCCTTGTTAGCCACACTACTCATCTTTTGAAACCATCTTTTAAAAGATTTGATTTTGGGCTTTTTGATGACATAGAGCCATTTCAGTATCCCCGGAGTGTGAGACAGTGTTTCTATTCTGAGGTGGGTTAAAGTAATTTGGAGACTTCAGGAGACGATCATCAGAAGATTGCAACCCAATAAACTTGTTAGCTGGAAGAATGTTTGTAGGTAGGAAGCCAGTTTCAGTTTCATAGTGGGTTTTCTTACCCAGGCAAGCCCATGTCCCAGGTGGGATGGTGTCCCTGATCTGCCTGTGGCCTCGAACCTCATCAGTGTCCCCACAGCAGGTATTCATGATCTTTATTTTCTGTACTCATTTTAGAATGACTTAGGCCAGGTTTCTGAAAAATAAATCTAGCTGGAATACTGATTGCCTTGAATGTATAGATTAGTTTGAGGAAAACTGAAATCTGTACTGTGATATCATCCATGAACATAGTACATTTCTCCACTTATCAGATCTTTGTATCTCAGAATTATAATAATCTCTCCATAAAGATTTTATTGCACTAGTTGGATTATTTCCTACACACACCATAGTTCTCCATAAAAGGCATCCTATTTACTGTTATGCATTTTAGTTGGTTATTCTGGCACCAAGGGACACTGATCTCTAGAGGTGCCAAATTGGCATGCCAGGTTGCGGAGTTGTTGCTCTTGTTTTGTGTGGTGCTCTGTTCCTGGAGCAGCACATGGAACACTACAGTGCTCAGCGACTCTCAGTGGATGGGCTCCTGCACCTCACAGGCCCCCGGGCAGTTACTGTCTTGCCAAAGGAAGCAGCAAGAGCTCAAGAGGAGCAGCACTCGGCCAAGCTGACACCTGGCCCCAGGCCCTCACCAGCCCATCGCAGCAGCACCTCAATGCTATCCTCATTTTCAGAGAGGAAGCTGAATGGAGGTGGGTGAGGACCAGAGGGCAGTCCTACACGGTACCCTGGCAGGACCAAGGAAGCCTAGCCTCTCTGTTCTCCGAGGAGAGTGCATGGAGTATAGAGTGGTGTCTGTGCCTGGGACCTTCACCTGGCACAGACCAGACTGGAGAGTGCTCTTCCCAAATCCTGTCCTAGAAGGAATGCACCGGGAGAGCAGCTCATTCTTTCTCTTGGGGATGCATTAACGCGTACTTTTTTTTTGGTACTGGGTATTGAAGTCGGGACCTTGCGCTTTCGAGGCAGAACCACTGAGCTAAATCCCCAGTCCGTTAACGTGTACTTTTAACCAGCAGGATCCTGACTGGCTGAATATCACCATAGCAAAACTTCTATCCCCATCTTACACAGGTGAATGAATGTCTTCTCAGCTCTCACATTCATGAAGGTGAAAACAGTGTAATGACAAGCCTGCGTCATTCCAGCCCTAAAGAGCGTCTTCCCATGAAGACACGGACTTTCTGCAAAGAAGCCTCATACAGACCATTAAGTGATACACTTCTTATTCAGTTTCACCCTGATGATGAAAATCGGCGATGTATGCGTGTCTTTTTGATTGACCCCCACCCAGTACTGAGGATTGAACACAGGGCCTTTGCACTGAACCACATTCCCAGCACTTGTGATCCTCCTGCCTCAGTCTCCCAGAGTGCTGGGAGTTTTCTGTTTGGTTTTTGGTACTGGGGATCAAACTCAGGACCCTGCATTTGCAAGGCAGGCGGCAGAACCACTGACCCAAACCCCTAGCCAAAGTGCTGGGATTTGATTGGGTACTTATAGAAACTGTAAGAATGAAAATCCAGACAAAATTCTTACTATGTTCAGCCTCAGATTGCACAAATTAAAACACGTTCTCAGCTTATGTGCATATTCTGTCGTAGAGAAGCAGAAGAGATGACCTGTGCTGGTCAGGACAGGCTGGCTCATGGCACATAACACAGCCCACTTCATAATGACCTGAACAGCACAGAGCGGTTCTACTCTCCAGTCGGTGACAGAGCCCCCGGGGACAAAGGAACCACCACCTACCACCCCAACACGCCACGAGTGGTGAGCAGCACCCTACTCTTTCTTTTGGTACTGGGGATCGAACTCAGGACCTTGTGCTTGCCAG